GGATATTCAATTAAGCAGGGTTAACATTGGGAAGGGGACTTTCACCAGCAGGTGTTCCAATTAAAATGATAGAAAAGTAAATCAAAGTGGTTAAAAAGCAAAACACTTCCACAAAGCAGATATTTGAAGGGATGAATAAATGAATGGATTCTTACTTAATATAGTTTTAATTGTTATTCACTTCCCCTTAATCCCTTTTTTCCCACTGCTGTGGTGATACTGTGGGAAAGCCCGCAGGTTTTTTCTGTAACTTAATAGTTCAGAGATCTGGGCAAACCTTTGCTGTTTTCCTCCGCTGTAGTCTTTTAGCTTTTTTTTTTGACCATTTTGTTTCTTCTTTAAGTTTCTGTTCACAGAGGCTCTGTTTCCTTCCCTTGTTTTCTTCCTTCGTCCCTTCCTTTCCTTATTCCATTTATCCATTTCATGGAGATTTGTTAACAGTTTTTTTTTTTGTTTTTTTTTTTGTGTGTGGTACGCAGGCCTCTCACTGTTGTGGCCTCTCCCGTTGCGGAGCACAGGCTCGGGACGCACAGGCTCAGCGGCCATGGCTCACGGGACTAGCCGCTCTGCGGCATGTGGTATCTTCCCGGACCGGGGCACGAACCCATGTCCCCTGCATCGGCAGGCGGACTCTCGACCACTGCGCCAACACTGCTTCGTGCCATCATCTTTTTAGGATGTTCTCAGCCTGAGTTTTGTTTTTCAGAAGATCCTTGTCCTGCTCTCTTCTCTGGGTATTTTTGTGTAAATGTCATGATGGTTCCTTTTTGTTCATTACTCACATTTGTATTGGGTGAGTTCTTTTTGGAACCGCTAGTTTGGATGGATAATTAGGGATAGTGGGTTGGTGTGTTTCCGGAAGCTTGACTTTGAATCTTTTGTCTTCAGACTCTTTCATAGCAGCTGTCTCCTCCAGGGTTTGATTCTGCTCCTGAATGGCTCAGAGCGGAGGGCTTTCTGTCATAGGTTTTTTGGTCCGTGATGTATCTCATGTCTCCTCAGTTAAGATTGAAACACTCTGTCTCCCTGAAACTTGGTCCAATTTTACTATACTTTAGCTGCTCTTCTTCATATATAATAATTTCAGTTTAGGGACAACTTCTAGTTTAGCCAAAGATGATACTTCCTTTTATGTTTCTTGTTCTCCTTGTTATTTTCCATGGATTTCAAAAAGGATTGAAAAAGAGCGGAGATACTAACGTGGCAGTTTTGCGACACTAGTCTGTAGCTTGTCTTCTGCCTTTATTCTTGCTGTTTTGTAGTCTGCTCGCTACAGCTGCCCAAGCAAAAGCACAGGTGAGAATGTGTGACTTCTCTGCTTCAGAACTTTGCTCTGTGTAGCTTAGAAGGTAAATGACAAGCACTTCAAATTGGCCCCTCAGCTCCTACATGAAATGCCCCTCCCTCCTCTGTCTTTAGTCCTGATGTTTATGACTCCTTTATATTTGAGCAACACTGAGTTGCTTGTATATCTGATAACGTGTTATGAAATTTCCTGTCCCTACCCCTATTTCATATGCCTGTTGCTACCACCTGGAGTTCTTTTTTCGTACTTAATAGGCTTCTACTTATCCTTCAAAGCCCAGCTCAGATGGTTCTTGCTTTTCGAAGCCACCTTTTACTTTATTTGGAAGAGAATTGGTCTCCCTCTCTTCTATGCTACCCCTTTACTCATACACATTTTGATTATTGCATTTTTTCATTATAATATAATCACTTGTTTACATATTTTCCTCGTTCACTAGATTATGAGTTCCTTGAAATTGATATCTTGTTTCTTTTTTGATACACATCACTTGGTACGGTGCCTGGTACTTAAAAGGGTCTCAAGTAATAATTATTATTCAGGTTTGAATCAACATAAAGGGAAAGATTCAAATCTGAATAATAATTATTCGGGGTCAATAAGATAGGAGAGAGATTTTTAAATGCGGGTGTTGAGTTTTTGTTTTCGTTGTCTTTGCTGAATTTGAATGAATGTAAATAAAAATGTAAAACAATACCAAAACCAATAAAACAAAGCAAAATCAAGTATAAATATCCTGTAGCCCATAATAAAAGACTAGGGATGAGGAAAGAAGTGAGGAGGAAAACTCTAAATCCTGGAGCCATTTGAGCGCTAGTGAAGTAACAGTCTGCATTGTGAGAGCAGATAGGTTCTCCAAGATAAAGTGTATGTGGAGGAGAAATGAACAGGCTGGGACAAAGCCACAAGTCTTTCAGGTGCAGTGGGAGGAATAAGCAGTGAGCTTTCTTTCCTTCCTTTGTTGTCAGGTTAAGGAACATTATCTCTTCCAGGGATTCAACCTCTCTGTTGTAAAAATAACTTATACTGCTGATTTCATGATATTTCTTCTCTCCTGAGCTAAGTTCCAGAAAACTTTTTATGCCCATTTCCAGCAATAATGGATGATGTGCATGTCTCAGTGGAATAATTTAGTGACTCGCTCCAGTGAAAGGTGAAATACTGAGTGAGGATTGAAATACTCCATATGTCTTAAAATTCCACAAACCCAGGCGTGTGGGAGACATTCAACACAGAAACTCAATGTGACTAATCCTTAGAAAACAGTCTGAAATCAATAGTTCTTCCCCACTGCCTGGACGTACCGCAGAAGGCATCCCCTTGGGGCTCTCAAGGAGCCATCTGGAATTTTTCATATTTAATATTAGTGCTTTGCTTTTACAGAAAGGCAGCAAAAACCCTCACTGGCCTTCCACCTGAGACATTTAGTGGTCCATTGGCATGGATTTTCCTTTATTCCTATAGCTCTGTGAGAAATTAATTGCAAAACATCCAAGACATGCTTTGCTTCCTTCCCATCAGAAAACACCAGGAGTGAAGATGTTTCCTTGTTGCTGACTCTTTTTTCATGCCCTCTGCAACTTAAAAAATTCTCTAATTTCTTTTTTTTTAATTTTTATTTTATATTGGAGTAGAGCTGATAAACAATGTTGTATTAGTTTCAAGTGTACAGCAAAGTGATTCATTTATACCTATACATGTATCTGTTCTTTTCAAATTCTTTTCCCATTTAGGTTAGTACAGAATATTGAGTTACCTGTGCTCTACAGTAGGCCCTTGTTGGTTCTCCATTTTAAATGCAGCAGTGTGTGTACATGTCAATCTCATTTCACCTCTGTTCAGCTCCCTCCTCCCCTTTCTTTGATGGTGGTCATCTCTGTTGCAGGGGGCACAGGATGTCTTTTGGCTCTGAGAGTGCCCACGCTGTCACTAATTTGGAGCTTCAGGTCATTCCCTAGACCCTTCCCTCACAGCTGCCCTAGGAGCTGGCAAACTCAAAGGTGGTTTTAAGGTGATATGGTGATTTCTGAGGAGCTCCAGAGTGTGTCTGAGTCTGAACGCTAGTGTGTGGTACTGAAATTAATGCAATCTAATACATTTTAACCAGGGACCCACTATGTTCTAAATAAGACATGGTCCTAGTTTCCAAGAAGCTCACAACCTAGTGGAAAGACTGGTGTGTGAAAGTGTGAAATAGGGGGACTCCAGGGAGAGGATAGGTCAGCTCCACCTGAGGAGGCCCAGCAGCGTTTCTCAAGCAGCCAACACCACAGTGATGACTTAGGTTCCCTCCTAAGTTATTATGTCAGGTTCCCTCCCTCTGCTCCCGTGTCCACCACTCAGATGCCAGTTTTCTCTCCACCAGATCTGGGGACACTCTGTAGTTTTCACACACAGAAGTCTACTTGAAGAGACCTATAAGGTTGAAATGATTTCAACTTTGTCACCCAATGGAAGTTCAAGGCTGTCTCACCATTATTCCTGTGTCTTTATACTGTACTGTTTGTTCACATAATGGACAAAAATATTTCTGATCAGTAGATAAAGTAAAGTGGTATCGGGCATCCCAAAGTAGCTAAAATTGTCCTTCAACCACTATGCACCCACTGAATCATTCTTGCCCCAACGTTTGTCATCATGTCGCATACATATTAGTTATATTATGACTACATATAAATATTAGCTATATAAAGTTTGGTAGCTTTACTACCAAACTCATGCATTTGCCTTTGGTCATCTCCCTGCTGTGGGCTCCAGCAGGCCCATCATTTAGAAGAGAGGACCCCTCCCTCCTGGTTTCTTGCCTCTCCCTTCAAAATTCTAACACCTCTGAATGCAGTATTATGCATCTCTCTTTCTCCCAAGAAAAGCATGAGTCAGTAGTCAAGACTGTATCTTTCAAACTTGAGGGGAATTCATCAACAAAGTTCTGTCTGCATTGCTCAAAGTAACTCAATTAATAGCCAAGAAAGAAAAGAAGGTCATTATTGTGAAAGGGGTTGATATGATGATCCGTTGGTATCTTAATATTGTAATTAGACCTGAGCCTCAAATGATATGCAGAAGTTATCACTTTGTAGAAGTTCTGTGGGATCCCAATGGTTGCCCTCCTGCCTGACTCTCACAGGTTTAGAGACATAAGGCCAACACGTAGAGGGTGTACGTCATACTCACTGAAACATTAAATTCCACAGCGAGTGGAAGCGAAAAGCAACATTGATAAGGGCACGTGCCATTTCTCTTCTGTCTCATTTTTTATTGTCCAAGTGGATTTCTTTTTTACGTACAGACACTTAATCTAGTGCTTATTTACATCCCTGGTATTTTCTATGGAGGCCTGGCTTTCAGCACTAGTGACCTCACAGGATTTCATCCATCACCACATTTCTGTGAGTTCTTTTATTGTGTGTGATAAATCCAGACAATTTAAGTTTGTTTCAGTCTTACGTCACCATGCTAATAGACTATTTTAATAACATCTACCACTCAACCAATCCAGGTAAGCTTTGGGAGTTATTAATTGGCATATACCATACAACCAACACATCATTTACACCATCTACTACTATACTGAATTTCTGTTTAACTGAATTTTGGGGGTGTAATTTCTATGAGCTTATTCTTGATCATTGTTGTACCTATAATTATCAGTGTCACATACAAAGGATTTATCATGCTTATTATCTCATTTTAGGTCACCAGTCTCTTCAGAAGATCACGGTAAGAATCTGTCTTACTTATACTAATTCAGAACTAAAAGTTGAGCTGTGGTCCTTGCATTTCATTGTCAGAGGGAAGGATTATTTAAGAAAATGTCTTTAAGATGTTTGCCTTGTGCTTTTTAGTGCACAATATGAAGTGCTTTTAAAAACGTAATGCATTCCAGCTAAATCTGATGTCTTGTACTATCTTCACATCTGTTACAACTATTTTGGTTGACCAATATTTCAAAGCTTAACGTATTCTGATTTCTGTCCCACCTCCAGAGACAGTTAACCCTTGAACAATGCAGGGGCTGGGGGCACCCTCCATGCAGTCAAAAATTTGTGTGTAACTTAGAGTTGGCCCTTCATATCTGCAGTTCCTCCATATTGGCAGATTCAACCAACTGCGGTTCCTGTAGTGCTGTAGTTTTTACTATTGAAAAAAATTCCTCATATAAGTGGACCTGCCAGTTCAAACTTGTGTTGTTCAAGCGTCAGCTGTACTCTATGTGACTTTTGGCTGGTCATGTAACTTCTCTGAGTCACAGATTTCACCTTTAAAGTGGGGATTTGTAGTAGATATTTCCAAAAGTCCCTTCCAGAGTGGACATTGAGATTTGCAGAGAATGTTATGAGTCTGAAATTGGTAGTAGTATGAGTTGTTACGCAGTTGAGGTGAGTTATTTGCATTTTAAGAGATGACTATTTTATTCACGGGATAAAATGTGTAGTTTTGTCACATCTAAGGTTTGGAGTTGTACATATATTCAATCAGTCATTCAGAAATGTTTTATTAAGTGTTTACGATGGGTCAGTTATGTTATATAATCATGTTATACAAATATGCTATATGGAGCTATGTGCAGGGACGTGATGTGTGACACAGAACTTCTTCCCTCAAGGAGCTTGATGGGTCCCCTTTGGGGGAAGGGGGCAGTGAAATGACACATACATACTGCAATACAAAGTGAAATTCGATGAATCTTTTATAAAAGAGGGATAAGCCAGGACTCTAAGAGTACCACTGACATTCCACTTCATGCTGTCCCTAATTCAGCTAAGGCACCATTATCTATTTAGCCAAACAAGTTTAAAATTAAAAAAAGACAGCTGTTTTAAGCTTTCCTCTTCACCCTCCCATTGCTACCTGGCCACTAAATTCTATCAACTCTGTTTTTTATACTTCTTTTACCTCTGTTTTCTTTTCCATCCCCATTCCTTTCATTTAGGGCCACTCCATATCTTACTTGGACTTTAAAAATTGTCTTCTAACTGATAGCCATACCTCTAGAATTCCTTCTTTTATTTCACTGTATACCTACATACCACCAAACTGATTATGGTAAAAATCTAGTCCCATTGCCTGTAGGATGAAATCTTTTCAATAGACCAATAATTGTATTCATCTTTCCAATACTGAACTTAAACATGGAATAGAAAGTCCTAAGTGATGGACTCTTTGTCTTCCTCTATTGCTCATTGCTTCTTTGGGCATCTTTCCCCTTGTCTCTATGCTCTGTGCTCTAGCCATGCGGCACTACATCTAATTTCTGAAACTCAGCACGTTTATCGTGTTTCCCTGCTTTTAGCCAGGCTGTTCTGACAGAAGTCACTCCTTCTTTTTGCCATAGACAATTTATACTTACCATTTGAGGCGTGGTTAATCATCTTATCATCCGTGAGAGCTTTCTGCCCTACTTAACATTGCATCGCATATTTTTCTTCATTCTAGAATTTAACTTAAAAATTTGTTGCTTGATTTACCTGTCTCCCCTGCTAGACTGTGAGTTCTTTGATATAGATCCCAACAAATAGCAAACATTCAAAAGATGTTCATTAATTGAATACCTAGAGAGAGGTGGAGTTTTTAAGTAGGCCTGTTCTGCTGCCGTGTCATAAAGTCCCTCCCAGTGTTGGAGTGAAGTTGTATCATGTTCTATGAAAAATCATAGGGGAAATTATGTTCAGGCCTCTTAAGTCAGAATTAGGCATCACCCACCTAATGATGACCTACCGTTATATGCTATTTTGCTCATCGAAGTTGGTATTGACTAGGTTTTTTATTGCATATTTAGAGGTCCTTGGATTTTCCGGTTCAAATGATAAACCAGAAACTTGTGTTTGGTTTTTATTTTGAACTAGGGTTTCCTTTAATGACCTTTGTTTGCATTTGCCTTCCTGTCTGTAAGAACTTAATCTCCCATTCCAGAATAAAGGGGGATGGGCTTCTGAATTACAATTCTGTAGTCCGCTAGGAATTCTTAAGGGTTATCGGCTATCAGCAAGCAGTGTCAATGTCCTGGGGAGTCGTGAACGGTGACAACTACCCGGAAGACTTGTTCAGTATTAACGGCACTTCAGAATCGATTATTTTAAGAAGTGGGTGTATGTGATTAGTTAAAGAAACATTATCCAAATTAGAGGGCTTTTACATTTTCATGGCTTCAAAACGTTGATTCTGCAACTTCCACAAATGATTCAAATATGTAATGTAAAATTATAATGCTGACTGACCTAATCTTACCTAATTTTCATATCTTCTAGCCCATGTATCCTTGGAAAAATATTCTTTTCCTTTTCTTTATCACCAAGATTTTCTATTAGTACTTAAAATGTGTTTTCTTATGTTTATACATTTTAAAGTGTTCATGTTTGCTGTGGTTAGCATAAAACCTTGAGAATCATGTCATCAAACTTTAATGACATTGCAGTGTACTTGTAAGAGAGGTAAGAAGTAGCATTTTTGCTTTCTCAAAGTTATGGGCAGAAAAATCGAGGCACATTGGGCAAATGGATTGTGAAATTGGAAAAGAAAGCTCTGTGCCTCTTGCCTTTCTATTTTGTTTGCTTTCCACCAGTGATCCTATTTCTCTCTCTGACTGGTCACTTTGGCTATCCCCAGAACAGACTTCATTCTTGAGAAAATCTGATTTTCCAAAGTCCAATAACCCTGACCTTCTCGATCCCCTCAGATTATCGTTTCATGGAAAATGTGCTTGGATATCGTGGTTTTGTTATTTTCCCTCTTAGTTTCAGTTTCCTCACCTGTAAAGTGAGGCTATTCGTATCTACCCTGCCTACCTCATGGGATTGTTATGAGTTCAATTGTGAAATCACTTTCCAATTTGTTAAAAGCATCCTGAACATAATGCTGTTGATGTCAGCAGTGGATGAGGAAGTATGTGTTTATTATGATGTTTGCTCAGCATTACATACTGCCTTTGACAAGTTAAAAGATGTGCTGGGGAGGAGAAGGGGTGTGAAAAATGTTTCTTTCAACATTATCATTAAATATTAAATTTTATTGGAAGCCTTTTTATATCTGGGTGAGGAGGAGTAAAATGGTTAATACACAATTCAGCCTGCAGTGACAAAGTAAAGGGACAGTTTCTGATTAGATACGGGGTCATTAGATATGGGAAATTGATGACATAAGGCATAAGTGAAATGTAGAATGTTTCTATTTTTATCATAGAGTATCAGAGTCATTAAGAATAAAGGCTAAAATTTACTGAGTGCTTCTTGTGCAGAGACACTGTGCTAAAGTGTTTCAGCTACATCATTTCATCTTTAACAAAGCACACTACACAGTAAATGTGTTCTCCTGTTTTTAGTGGGGGAAACTCACAGTACTTACATAACTTGCTGAAGATCACACAGCTAGTTAGTGGTAGAGTTAATTTTCAAACCCAGTTCTAACACTCCACCTTTGATCATTTACCCACCGTGTCCTCAGAAAACAAAAGAAGTGACTGTCAGCATTCAGGTGAATTGATAGAATTATAGAAAGAAAAAAACTTCCCTCTAACAAGAGGTTATTTACTACTGTGTGAGTAATCTCCTTTTAATGACAAAACAAAACAGACCAAAAATAACAACTTCTCCCTCCTGCTGAGAATGATTTGTCCCCGTAGAAAAAGTAAATACCAATGTCACATTCTCTCATAATTAGCTAACTGAGTGAAACTGAAGCTTCAGGGAAGCCCGCCATGCGAAGTCCCAGGGGGAACGTTACATTTTAATGTTACAGCTGGAAGCCAGAGTCCTACTCCTTGTCAGAAGAGAAGCTTGATGGTGATGAATTGCCCTGTCCTACAGGTTTCCTCTGCATTTAGTGCCTATTGCCCCTGGAGCCACGTCTGGTGGGTTCCCAGGCTGCTTCGCCCGCTCTGAGCTCTCAGATTCTGTCTTGTCCACTTCGCTCGCTTGCTTTACGGCCTCTCAGAATGCCTCTGTGCTGGGGCACTGACAGAGGGTCAGCTTCCAACCAATGTCTGTTCACTTACAAAGTAAAAGACATTAATTGAGAGGAAATGCCAACAATCTGATTCCCCCTGGCATGTCCGAAGCAGGTATCCCTCTCCTGTCCTAGCCCGTAGACCTGTTGTTGGTAAAAATGGTTCTTTCTCACTTTATATGGTAGTTCTTCTGTTGCAACAGTAACACAATGAACAAGAATGGGAGTGGAGGCTATCTGGAGATAAAAACTGTAACAGCCATGATCACCAGTGTAAGTCCCCAAGGACGAGCCACTGTCAGGATTCGAGGCAGTTTTACTTTGCCGTGGGTTGTGCAGGGAAACGCACTGTAGAGTGCCCTAAAGCTCTTTAATACATCAGTGGCTGTCTCTGGCTCAAATACCATAGATTCATATTTCTCTCTAGTATAAATATATATGTATATATACATTTACTGAAATAGAAATATTCATAAAAGTGTATAAAATTTATCTGCTCAGTTTAAATTCTAACCAAAGGAACTACTGTGTACCCAGCCCCCAGTCTAAACAATAAGATATTTGTAGTAATCTGGAAGCTTCGTGATTGCCTTTCTGATTACATTCTCTTCCCTCTCCTATGGGGATAGCTACTATTCTGCTTTTTTTGTTAAAAATTTCCTTGTTTCTTTTCATCATTTTACTACACGTATGCATATTTCACCTATGGATATATGTGTGTGTATAAATATATATTTTATATTTGTATTCCATATATGTGTGTATATAGTTTTGCTTAT